CTTCATTTCAGCTAATATCAATATGTGAGCTCTTACCAATACAGCGTTTCCCAATTCTGGGTACATGCTAAGAACACTACCAATAGACGTACGTATGAACACTCACCACAATACACACACATAATATTCACCACACAAACTCAATGTAACTGTCCATGTGCTTGTAACTTGTTGTTAATACATATATTTGTTTGTATATAATTATCGGTCTTGTTTGTCTTCTTTGGACTTAATTAAAGTCCAACATTCTCAGGTAGCTGGACTGGCTAGCAGGAAATTTTAACCCACGTTGTGTTCTTTATATCTTCACCCCACGGTCCTCTACAATATAAACACACTTACGAATATGCATTATGTTATAGACAGGCGTATGGTTGCAAGAAATAAATACGACAACAGCAGAAATAGATTTAGGAACGTGGTTTTGGGACAGCTACTTATAGTTCATAAGCCGGCTCCAGATCTGGGTTCATCTCTCATAGTAGTTCTCACTGGTTGGCGTGGCGCTCCTCCTGCTGACTGCTGCTGACTGCCCAGACTGACCGTGAGAGATCTAAAAAATAATATATCCTGTTGATTATATATGCTGACTGCCCAGACTGACCGTGACAGGGATCCTCCCTGGCTTTCTGTTGACTATATTTAGTAACCCCCCACGTGGGCATCATAAATGTAAAGGCCGGTTTAACGTGGGCTCTCCGAGCCCGTGGGCTCGGCCAAAAATATGCCCATTGAACCCGTATATACGGGTTCAGTGTAGTTAATTTACCTCCCGAAAGAGAATCCAATTTCGGCGTATCCTCGTTCGGGTTCTTTCCCCGCCCGAAGGCAGAGAGTTCAACCGATCAGCCGGTCGACCGAGATCGAATGACTAAGGCGAATTACCAACTTCCCTGGCCTCCTGTTGACGATATTCAGTCACCCCTCCACGAGGGTGTCATTAAACAAGGCTTTTTTAAAATTGGGCATTCCGAGCCCGTGGGCTCGGCCAAAAATTATTTTGAATTGAACCCGTATAAACGGGTTCAGGGCCGGTCTACCTCAATTTGAATAGTTCCGCCCTTCGGCGTAGCTTCCTTCGGGTTCCTCCCGTCCGTAGAAAGAGAGTTTAACCGAACAGTCGCTCAGAAAGTACTGGCCCCCTGTTGACTGCTAGTACTTATATATAAATGATTTTATGGCGGTTTTTTAAAATTTCATTAGGAGGGAAGCATTTTTATTGGTCGACAAATAGAAACACTTTAAAATATTATTTTATTTTTCGACCGGAACTCGTGCGTCGAGCCTATGCGCAACCTACTGCCGGAAGAAAATCTGTCTCGTCAGTCATGTTCGCCTAAGCGTGTATCACTGATATGACTGATTTCAGTGATAGAATCATACGCCAATGGGTTGAAGTGTCCAACAAAATCGCTTTTCTTTCTATTTAAGTGTTATTTATTAAAATAAAGCGCTTTTAACGATAATTTTCTATTTAGCTGCTCAGATTTGTGAAAAGTCAAATCTATTACATTGTTTACGTTCTAATACTGAATCAAGGAAAGGTATTAAATTTTTTTCTTCTCTCCCCAGCTATAGGTAAATATTAGGAATTCAAAAAAAAAAATCTGCCTCGGCAGTCATGTATCGAAAGATACACGATAAAAAGCATGGAACATACCTGACTTCTGGAACACAGTGGAGTAATGGATAGTGGCTGGGATTGAAAATGAGAATAACCGAGTTCGAATATAATATCAAAGCCATTACATATACTTATATGCTAATACCCTTGGGAAAATTATGAAAAATCTTCTTCTCCCCCAGCTATAGGTAAACAGCAGGACAGATGTTCTATAGCCTAAAATAATAAACTGGTTTTACCGCAGAAATAAAATGGCAATTTACCTCAGGCCTCGTCAGTCATGTAAAAAAACATTAAACATAAAATACTTTATCAAATTATTTACAAATAATTGATCTTATGCAATATATTTGTGAACACTTCAACTAGAATAATTGAAAATAAATACAATGTATCTAAATACAAATGTGAATAATATATATATATATATATATATATATATATATATATATATATGGGGATATTCCATCTTAAATAAATCAGCAATTTGTGCAATTTTAACATCAACTTCAATTTTTTCTTGGTAAATTTTGAATAATTTTAACACATTCAACATTAAAAAAACATTATATTTTATATACAGTGTTTTTCCAGACTTAAAATGAGCAAAAGAAAAAAAAATCACAGATTTGGATGGAGAAAAAAGACCCCAGAATGATGTAAAAATCAGCGAAAATTACATGCTTCCATGATATCTCATTCAATTCCTATATTTCATGACTAGCCTATATATATATATATAAATATATATATATATATATATATATATATATGTCATCCGCACAGACTGTTTCGCTGTATCACAGCTCATCTGAAATGTCTAGACGTCCGGTTGTCTCTATTAGGATCGAAACCTAACTGAATTGGCGTAAAGTCAGGTTTACCACTAAGCCGTTCAAAACGGAAGGAATGAAAATGAATTTAAAGCGTATTTATTTTTAGATAAACACACGGTGACTGAGAGAACTCGATTCGATTCACTGAAAAGTCTCATATATATATATATATATATATATAAAATGTATTGTGTTGTGTGTGTGTGTGTGTGTGTGTGTGTGTGTGTGTGATAAAATATACTTTTACAGTATGTTATACTTATGCGTAAACGATTGCAAAAATATTTAGGGATAGAGCGTATTGGAAATTTTTGAAGTGGACACTGCGGTCAACACCGAGTGGCGACAGTCTGTCCCATGCTTCAACGGAGTCTACTGACCTTGGATGGCAACTGATCTATTATATATATGAAAAAAATGTCAACCTATATGCGAGAACAAAAAAAAATCTGTCTCGTCAGTCATATCGAAAATAAATCGATATAAAAATGTATAAATGATATGATTTTTTTCTGTGATAGAATCATACGCCAATGTGTTGAAGTAGCTAATGTTGGCCTTAGAATATTCTCTAATACACATTTCATATGGCCTATAATCCCCCTGTAATTGATAAAATTTCTAATTTTATCCCCAGTTTAAATATAACATTTTTATTACCACAATCTAATACATATCACATATCTCTATCTATAAAAGGCAGGATGTGTGTGTGTGTGTGTGTGTGTGTGTGTGTGTGTGTGTTTGTAACGAATGCACGGCCGCAATTTTCGACGGATTTGCACCAAAATTTACATGCACATGCTCCAAGTTAGTGGGAAGGCCAAGACCGACTTTGCATTTCTCAACTCCCATCGATAGTGGAAATAATCGATTTTTTCATGCTTCTACGGCAGTTTTCATGTAGTTTGCGTCCATTTTCTACTGGCCAGAGTGAGAGCCTATAGCTGGCTGCCACGAATAGGCAGGAAGATTCTATTGGCCAGCGTGAGAGCCAACAGCTGACTGACACGAATGTTAACTAGCATGCTAGCATGCAAAAAAAAAAAAAAATCGATAGCTGCATTCGTCACAAGTGGGAAAAATTTAAATCTGCATGGCACTTTACTCCAATTGGCTCATTCGCTTGCTTAAACTCAACGTTGATTCTGATTCCGCAGAACTGGGTTGGGTGTGAAAAAGTATTTGTTGTTAACATTCTTTTTTCATTCGGTTTTTCCAGTTACGAGTCCTTTTTTAAAGCTGATCGTTTTGTGTTCATTTTGTTTAGTTCTTTTTTCGTAACAGATTTAATGTTTAGTATAGAGCTTAGAAAAAATTCGCAGTGTGAGATAGGCAAGAAGTAAAGCATGTAGCAACATCAGCACGGCAGAGGGCACTCCTTTTTAAAGGCAAGGAAGGGCAAAAATATTTTAAGTCAAGTGATAGCGATTGCTGTATGAGTCGTATGATTTTTGAATCAAGCACGGGCAACGCCGGGTCATGCTGCTAGTATTCTCTAAAACACATTTCATATGGTCTCAAAATTCCTTATAATTTGTCAAATTTATGTTGGAAGGTGGGGGGTAGAGCTTGCAGCGCTTGAACCTTCAGCTGTATGGACTCGTTGAGTTTGCCAGAATTTATTCATAGCCTTCATTTTGGCTGTTGGATCCTTGAATCTATTGTTGCGGGTTGCGAAGAGGCCGCCATATATGTTCAAACTTCAGGACCTCAAAAATGTAGGTCCGTCACTCAGTAGTAGTCTATAGTAGTAATAGCCTATACAGGCAGCATTAATAGTAATAGTAGTTTCATGTAGTAGTAGTTATCCTACGTAATATTTGTAAGTGTAATAAGAGCAATATACAGGGTGTCCCAAGATAATGTATACGCTCTTTAAATATTAATAGTTAATAATACATTACGGTGGCGTGAGAACTTATATGAATGAAAATATGCAAAACAGATAGATTGGAAGAAGATGGAGAGTTGCATACCCACTTAGATCACCAGATTTGACAGTTTTAGATTTCTTTTTGGTGGGGTTTTTAAAGACAAAGTTTACAGCAGAAAAATGAAACCTGAAATGAGCGTAGCAATTGAAGAAAAATGTGCTCAAATACCAGAGGAAATGATAATGGATTTTTTGTAGGTTTCTTCAAGATCTGAAAAGTGTATTGAACAGAACGGCAACCATTTTGAGCACTTGATGTGAAGTCATCATTATATGAACGTTCTGCCATTGCGCCAAGTAGCTTTTATCTTATTAAAGTTAATTTTCTGTGGGTTTTTTTTTTTTGTATATTTTACTCTCAAATTCTTTAAATGTGTATTCTTTCTCTTGTATTAATCTTATTTACAAGTCAAATTACATAATAAAGTTGAATACTACTGTACTGTACTGATGCGGCATTCACCCTGGGCGGATTGAGCCGGCTTCTTCCTGTTATGAGAAGAAGATTCTTGGGATAAATTACAGAATAGGGTACCCAGGCCTACTCGGATAACGTTCTTGCTTGCATTGGGGTTCCCATCAGACGCAGAGACAGGAACGACCAGGTCATCCCACGATGAAAGACCGGATTTCTCGTACGATCACCGAAGTTAAGCAGTGTAGAGCCAGGTCAGTACTTAGATGGGGGATTAAATTGGGAACACCTGGTACTGTAAGCCCCCAAAGTCCAACCCTTACCTCACAGTCGGTGGGTGGGGGTGTAAACAGTTTTGTGTTTCTATGCCGCCCGGAACCATTTTCATTTGGTCAATCTCCAAAATCCGGACAGGTCTGAAATTTTAACCTTGGATGTTTTAACAAGGACTCTTTAATTTGAAAATAAAAGGCGTCTGCATCGGTAATAAAATTTGAATTCTTATTCCACGATTCAAAAGAGTCAAAATCATTTTTTGGGAAATTTTGTTTTTTTAATTTTTTGTAACCCTCTTATTTTTAAAGACCTGGATTTAAGAGAAACCCGGATATAAGAGATTTTTTTTAAGATTATAAAAAATTTCTTATTTGTGTTAATGTAAATATAGAATAGACCCCAACAAATGATATAAAGAAACCCGGATATAAGATTCCACTTTTTTTTCCGGTCCAGACAATTCTCTTATAAAAACGCTCCTCAAAACCTGTATTATTACTTTTGCATCAACTAGTAGTAACATCAATAGCAATAAAGTACAGGACAATAATATTAATGTTTGTAGTAGTACTTTAATAATAGTTTTAATAATTCTAGCATGCCTAATTTAATTAGTAGCGTTTTCTTATTCTTTGTAATCGTGTCAGTGATTTCGAGGACTTTGACGGTCATGGCTCGCCACAATTTCTTGTCCTTTGTAGCGCTTAAAATATGTTGTTCTATCTTGTGCCGCCAGCCATTTGGCATCTCGAGGTGGTGTAATGGTAAGCAAGCTTGTCTCGCTAAAAAAAAGTTAAGACTGAAAAGTGAGTTCGATCCTCACTGGATGACCCCTAACTTTCGGCCTTGTATGCCACATCATAACTACGCTTGGAAAAATCACTATATGGGCGCATCGGCGTGGTTAAAATGGTTGTCAAATCTCTTGAAAAAAAAGTTACGATTGAATAGTGTTCGATCCAGTTGATGGGTGACCCTTAACTTTCGGCCTTGTGCCACATCTAAACTACGCTTGGAAAAATCACTATATGGATAAAGCTCGGCATGGTGTAATGGTTAGCAAGCTTTCTTGCAAAAAAAAATCCAGACACAAAAAGAAGTGAGTTCGATCCAAAACATGGGTGAATCCTCTTTTGATAAAAATTTGTGTCACAATCTAATAAAGGCTTAGAAAATCAAGCTAGCTTGTTACAAAAAAATAAAATTTTTTTTTTTTTTATACAGTGAGGTTCACTCTGATCAAGGCCCTGGGGTCACTCGAGGTAGAGGATTAAAAAAGCAAGAGGCACATTTATGCGAACAAAAGGGGAAAAGATAAACGATTATTAACCCTAGACTTGAACAGGTTAAGATTGTATCGATCTGGGAAACATCCTTTCGGCATTTAAATTATACAGAACAGTGGTTCGCAGGAAGAATACCTATATTAGAGTCGAACTTAAAAACCAATACGGAAGAAATGGGTTTATTTTCGTATAATGCGTTGTCTTTCCCCGTCCCTCTCGCCTTCAACCTGTCCTACGAGTACCAAATTTTCCAAGCCCTCATTATGTGACCCAGACATTTCAACCGTCTCTTTCCGATGTTATATATAAAAGTCCTTTTTGTTTCCATTGTCTCTCGAACTTCGTCGTTGCTCAGATATTTGTAGTAATAATAATCCTTATACTGCTAACAGCGATGTTAGTACAGTGTAACCCGGATATAAGAGAGTTGTCAGGACCGGAAAAGATGTCTCTTATATCCGGTTTTCTGAAATATCCAGGTTTGGTTTATTTTGTTTACATTAACACAAATCTAATTTGGGACCAGGGAAAATCTCTTATATCCGGGTTTCTCTTTATATCCGGGTCTAAATAAGAAACTGCGGATAATCATCATAATATTTTGCAAAAGTATAATAAAATGTAATGATAATAAAATTCTGTTTAAAAAATAGTCATTTTATGTATAATAATATTGAAGTTTAAACAGTAGTGATAATAGTCCATGTAGCATTAGTAATAATAGTGACTGTATTTGCTGTAATAGTTTGATAATTTTAATATAAATTGTTTTATAGTAGCAGATAAAAATTTATATTTAATTTTAATTAATTTAAAAGCATCTATTTAATATTATTTAGCTGTATTAACAAGGTTTATGTAAAATAAAAAAAGACAAAACTTTATAAGATCGTAAAAATAGTACTTAATCTATGTAGTAATAGTATTATTAGTGATTTGTACATACAAAAGGACAATTGGATATAAAGACCCGGATATAAGAGAATCAAAAAATAAATAAAAATTGTTTTGAATCCCATCAGACTTGTGTTAATTTATTTAAAATAGACCTAAATTGGATATAAAAGAAATTGCCCTTAAGATTTTTCTTCTTTTTTCCGACAATGTTCTTATTTTATATCCGGGTTACATTTAAAGTAGTAAAATTAGTGTATAAATATACATACAATTAACCCCTGATATAAAATTTTATATAATTTTTTTAATGGATATAAAATGAGATTAGAATTTATTCAAATTTAGAGCCTGTCTTAATGTAAACAAATTAGACCCAACCCTGATATATTTTGGATATAAATTTATTTCTTTCCGGTCCCGACAACTCTTATATATCCGGGTTTCATTTAATAATTTTTGCATTTTATTTTTTTAAAATTTATAAATAATATAAATAAAAAAATGCAACTAAGAAAGTTTTTATAAAAATGAAAATTAAAAGAAAAAAGAAAAAAAAGCCCAAAAATGTAAAATGAAAAAATGGGATAATTCTAGATCCTGTTAAAAAATTTTGGGGGCTATCTAATTGTTTAAAAATGATTTAGGCAAAGATATTAGGAAACCCTTTATAGTAAAATAAATTTTGAATATTTAGAGTTCAGGAAAAGTATAAAACATAAAAAGAATTTTTATGGACTATTATATAATGAAACCCAATATAAAAATTTAAAGAAGGAATAAACCTCTATAAATTTTAATTTTAATAAAAAAAAAAATTGATACGATATGCGAATATATTCTATTCCTATTGAAAAAAAAAAATTAAAAATAGATAGTACAAAAATATTTTCCGGATATAAAGAAACCCTGATATAAAGAAATTTTCTCTGGTCCCAAATTACCTCCTAAACAAAATGTATAAAGATAGACCAAACCCGGATATCAATTGATTTTTCTGGTCCCAAATTGAGCCTTTGTTAAATGTATATAAAAATAGATTAAAATATGGATATATAAGACATTTTCTCTGGTCCCAAATTAGAGCCTGTGTTAATGTATATAAAATAGACCAAACCCGGATATAAGAGATTTTTCTGGTCCCAAATTAGAGCCTTTTGGTTAATGTATATAAAATAGACCAAAAATATTTGATATAAAGATTTTTTCTGGTCCCAAATTAGAATGTGTTAATGTATATAAAATAGACCAAACCCGGATATTTTTTTCTCTGGTCCCAAATTAGAGCCTGTGTTAATGTTAAAATTTCACCATTTCTAACGAGGATATAAAAGAAACCTGGTAACAAGATCAAATCTTCTCCAGTCCGACAACTGAATATCATGGTTACAATCTAAATAAAAACATTTTTGAAGCTTTACATCGGAGATGTTTAGAAAAGAATAGATGTTTGGAGAAGGAAGGAATCGATTTTTTTATAAATTAAAACAGGGAGAAAATTTAAACTTCTGTTAAGAAAAAAATTCAAAAAAAACTAAGGGCGGCCAATAAAGACAGACGATAAGAAACTATCTACTTTATTGAGGACAAAACAAAAAATAAAATAAAAAAAAGGTAATTTTTATTGGGAAATTGATTTTAGAAAAAATAAGTTGAAGTAGACTTAAAAAGGAAATTTGTTTTTTTCAAAAAAACAAAAAACAAATCAAGATCGAGGAGGAGCGTATGTCGTAGTAAAAATAGAATGTTAACATTTTAATAGTAAAAAATACGTTATTCTTAAAATAAAGTTTGAATAGTAGTAAAATAGCAACTCTAAAGTGTTCATAACTCGTTATTTTTTTGTACCCCCAAAAAAAATAAGTAATGGAGACCATCACAAAAAAAATCAAAATAAATATTCATACTTGTGTGTGTTTAAAGTATGTGTGTGTGTGTGTGTGTGTGTGTGTGTGTGTGTGTGTGTGTGTGTCTGTACGTTTATATATTGGATCGGATTTCCTACATTTTTCAACCGATTTCAACAAAACTTCACAGGACTACGTAAAATTACCTTGCAGTGGTTCTGACAGCGCCAAAATTGGAAAAACACAATTGTTTTTGCACGAAATCAATTTGAAAACACGATTAAAACACATTCTGTCGCCAGAATGAAAGGGGTACAACTCATATCGAGTTATACTTATTATAAAACCCAGGTTGTTTGTGTGTGTGTGTGTGTGTGTGTTCGTTTATATATGGGATCGGATTTCCTACATTTTTCAACCGATTTCAACAAAACTTCACTTTTTTGGCAGGTAGTGTTTCTTATTGTCTTGCACACTTTTTTCTTTATTTTTACATTCAGAATGCTTTAAAAATTCCATTTACAAGACAATTGTTTATAATAAAATTCTATTCAATCGATAGACTCATAACGATTGAAAACAATGTTTTTGTTTGAGTTTGGGTTTGACCAATTCGTAAAAAAAAAAAAAAAAAAAAAAAAAACTAATTAAGACATGTGTGTCCGTCAACCTTAAACAATAATCTTTGTCAATTTTATTTTTCAGTCTTTATGATGGTCGATACTTGATCTATCTCTTACTGTTACATCCCCGGGCAACGCCGGGCTCTACTGCTAGTTTGAATATAAAAATGTTCAAATTGTTGATCACGCTAGATATATATAATATATCTTTCCCAGAAACTTCTTTTAAACAAAAAATGTTAAAATTTATATAAACACAAATGCGCCTTTTTTCATTGGATTGACTAGCCGAAACATTTAGGAGGAGAACATTTGGCCAGCTATAAGATAAGATATTTTTACTCTTTGTAATAGTAATCTATGTAATAGTAATATTA